AAACGCGTCAGAGTCGTTAGTGATATGACGTAGAGTAAAGACGTGTAGATAAACGTAATGTACAGTAAGCCAGTAAAAAAAGTCAGGGGTGAAATGGAAGGAAAAAAATGATGAATATACATTGTGAATGTATCTATATTTATTATATAGTAATATAAAAAAGGAAAAAATATTCTTAGGTACAGAAAAAATAAAGTTACTGTAACTCAGGCTGCAAAACAGCTCACAGCTAAAATCGTACGGTACGGTATTCCCCAAGGGGAATCCCCAAAAACAAATGAAAAATTTCAAATTCACATTGTTTTAGCGAGATTATATTGTTTTAGTCAGTTACTAAGCATTGCGTAACATTTTAAGTTGGAATTCCAAAATAAAAAGCGAAAAAGTATTAAAAATGAAACAGACAACGGTAGAAGAGCGGCATATTGTCTTAAGAAATTTTGAAAGTGACAAAAGCTATCGTGAAATTGCAAAAACTATTAACGGAAGTGTTAGTACTATCCGGTATATTGTTAAACGCTATCAGGAAGAAAATAGAATAACAAACAAAACAAAAACAGCTCAAAATAAAAAATTCAAGACTCATGGTGAAAGATGGATAGTAAGGAATATTATAGAAAATCCAAGACTTAGTTCTCCTAAACTTGCAACTGAGGTGGAAAAATATCTGGACAAGACTGTTAATCCGGAAACAGTAAGACGAGTTTTACAGAACCATACTTTTGATGGTCGAAACAAACCACTTATTAGCGATAAAAATAAGAGAAAAAGGTTTGATTTCGCAAGAGAATACTTAAATAAAGACTTAAATTTTTGGAAACATGTTCTCTTTGCTGACGAATGCAAATTTAATGTTTCCCATTCAGATGGAAAAATTATGCCAGCAAATCCAACGTAGCAATAATACAAAGAATACCATCAGGAATTTTAAGAATGATTACAGATGCTCCTTGGTATGTAACAAACCAAACCTTGCACGAGGACCTATATATTCCATTCGTCAAGGAAGTAATACAGAAAAACAGCACACACATTATGAAAAAGTAGAAAATCACAGCATCACTTCATTACATCCATTACTGAAACAGTATAGCGAAAGAAGAAGACTGAAGCGACAATGGCCAGCAGATCTAATTGATGGTTAAGGAGGACTGGTCAATGGATAAGTTCTCATTACGCTGTAGGAGGTGATGAAAACAGTACCCAAGTCAGCATATTAGCTCATACAAATGTATTTTGATTGCTAATAAAATAAAATTAGAAAAAAGAAGATGGCAAAATTACAGTGTTGGCATTGCCCAAATGAAGAATTTAAAATAAACAATTTGAACTCTGCTGTTAAACATGGAGGTGCATCAGTAATGGTCTGGAGGTGCATGTCTCTTGCTAGAGTATGTAATTTGAAGTTTATTGAAGGTAATGTGGATAAGCACGACTATTTTAATATTTTGAAAGAAAATTTAAAAAATAGTGCCGAAAAATTAGGAATTGTGAACTGTTTTAAATTCTATAGTGATAATGATCCGAAACATACGTCGCATATGGTCAAAATGTGGCAATTATACAATTGTCCAAAAGTAATTAATACACCTCCTCAGTAATCTGACCTAAATGTGATAGAACATACATATTTGGAATGAATTGGACATTAAAATCCGAAAACATACCATTACAAATAAAAATGATTTAAAAAAAGGTTTAATGGAGGAATGGCACAAAGTTGACCCCAATTTTACCGAAAAATTGGTAAAATCAATGCCAAAAAGATTGCGAGCTGTTGAATGTAATCGAGGGAACCCAACCAAGTATTAATTTTTAGTTTAAACAAAGTTTATAATCATTTTCTACACATGTACGATTTTAGCTGTGAGCTGTTTTCCAGTCTGAGTTATAGTAAATTTATTTTTCTTTTCTTATGTAATAAATATAGATACATTTACAATATATATTCATCATTTTTTCTTCCATTTCATCCCTGACAATTTTTTATAACTAGACAATATTAATACTAATAAATCACTTTCTCGTTGTGATCAGTCACAATACCCACAATATTGTAAAATATGTATGTACATATGTATTAGGATTTAAGCATTAAAATATAAACGTTAGAATACTGCGTAGGATACAAAATAAGCGGTAGGATATAAACTTAATATACAGGGTGAGTCATTTAACTGTGCCACCTAAATATATTCGTAAACTATTTGTTGTATCAAAAAAATTTCACAAACGAAAGTTGTTTGGTATCAAGCGGAGCATACATTGTAATAACTAAGTTTTTGTTAGTCCGCTCTTTTATCGAGATATGAAGGTAATCTTGAATTTTTGTATCATGATGTGTAATCTTTGACCTTGTGGTTCGAAAGAGTACTGAATGATGAGTAAAAAATCTATAAGGTATATGTGATTAAAAACTAATAATAAGCGAAATATAGATGTCGGTCGGTTGTACGACAATACTATTTGCGACCAGAGCAGTCAGTTTCAAGATGCTTTTGTCGAAATCAGAGTTGCTTTTTCTCACTGAAAATAATTTATTTAAAATATATATCGTTAACAAATATACGGAAGAGGAAACGTCATACAGTAGACAAGATAACATTCGACGAATTTCATCACAGTTTGTCAGCTATGAGAAAATGACAATTTATTTTATCAGTACATATACGGTTTTGTACGGGTTTTCGCTATATCTTACATATTTGCATATGTTTCATACATGTATGCATACTTTATTAACATAAATGGCATATGCTTGTTACATATTTTACGTGCAAAAATATCCGAAATCTATTTTATAGACTTCGAGAGACTTTGTCTAAAACCCTCATCTTTACACCTTACGGGAGATTGGCATATTAGTGAATTTTCCTTTATATTTGTTTATATAAAATTAATAGTGTACACATTTTACTTAAATATTGATAATAAATATATTTTACTTAAGATAAGAACCACAAGATTGTTATACAAATACTTTGTACCACTATTTCCTATTATAATCGGAAGCTGCATTACAGTGTAGAAAACTCGAACCATATGGAATCATACAATGTTTAAAAAGGAAACTCAACATGTTGCTGAATTCCTTTAAAGAAACTAAAGTCACAAATCCTACCAGCTTCACCAAGGTCCAGGTTTGTCAGTTTCTTCATATCTTCTGATTTAAGTTCCCAATTGAATAATTGTATATTCTCTTGAATTCTCTGAGGATTCGTACTTTTTGAGATAACGATGATTTTATTTTGCACAATATATCGTAGTAAAATTTATGCCGATGATTTTCCGTATTCCTTTGCTATTTTACATACGACATCATTTTGTAGCATATCTGGAATCTCTTCTGTTTTATTCAGTAATTTAACAAGCCCCCGCGAGCCAAGCGGCGAATAAGCCGTCATAGATATGTTCTTTTCTTTACAATATTTTACCTGAAAAATGTTATTTTAAATGTAAAACAACTAATATGTTAAGACATGTAAGAGAATTCGAGGGCGCCGTCGAGGCGGGCATTCGGGCGGTCGGCCCGGATGTTTAGAGTAATAGGATTAGGCGATATCGGGCCCGAGGACTACGACGCCACGAGCATCGGCAACCAACCCTCGAGGCCCTTGGCGACACACATTTGGTGGTAACAGCGGGAAAAAAGGGCTTTTCTAGTCGGAAGGCCAGTCTTGGTTAGAAAGTCGTACGATGACGATCTAAGCAAGCTAACCCACGCAACGGTTAATACATCCATTTCCATGAAATGGAAAGAATTACAAGGGGCTTGAAACGACAGATATTAAAATGACGTTGGTTCGCTCGTCGATGGCAATTTTTTCAAAATTTTTTGTACACGTCATCTAGTAAACTAATCCTTCTAACTTCTAAAAAAAAAACTGAAGTCATTTGGTTCAATTTCAGAAAAGTTATATTGTTCTAAAAGTGGCCGGAAATTAATGACCGCAACTGTATGTAAAAGTCAATGTAACAATTGACTTCCTTTCGCTCGTTATCTTCTCAGTGACGCAAAGTAAAGCAGATTTTTTATTAAAAACAATATATAATACACTATTAACTTATAAATAAAACTATGCGATATTATATATTTATATAAAATTTATAATAAGCATAAGTGGTAGGAGAGAAATGTAAACGGTTTCTGTAATTTTCCTTGTGAAGTTCGAAATGCGTTGTTACGAGTTACGCTTGTGTCCTCACACGGAGCGTAATATTGGTTTGGGTTTGTGGATCGGTCAAAACGTTCACCGTATGAGGTTGACAACAAATCCGACAGGATTGGAACCTTCGGCGCATGTGGTTACTACGCCGTTCTCCTAAGGATGGTAACGTTTGGAGTTTCAACGTATACGTTGACGACAAGGGGTTGGTGGACCGGTCAGACCGTTCACCGAATGAGGGTGATACGTTGTTGACAACAAATCCGAAAGGATTGGAACCTTCGACGCATGTGGCTACTACGCCGTTCTCCGAAGGATGGACAAGGTGGAGGTTCAACGTGTATGGTTAACACGTCGTTGACAAGGCTTGTGATGGACCGGTCAGAACATTCAACGTATGTGGTTAATGCGTTGTACTCCAACAAGTCCGATAGGATTGGAACCTTCGACGCATGTGGTTACTACGCCGTTCTCCGAAGGATGGACAAGGTGGAGGTTCAACGTGTATGGTTAACACGTCGTTGACAAGGCTTGTGATGGACCGGTCAGAACATTCAACGTATGTGGTTAATGCGTTGTACTCCAACAAGTCCGATAGGATTGGAACCTTCGACGCATGTGGTTACTACGCCGTTCTCCGAAGGATGGACAAGGTGGAGGTTCAACGTGTATGGTTAACACGTCGTTGACAAGGCTTGTGATGGACCGGTCAGAACATTCAACGTATGTGGTTAATGCGTTGTACTCCAACAAGTCCGATAGGATTGGAACCTTCGACGCATGTGGTTACTACGCCGTTCTCCGAAGGATGGACAAGGTGGAGGTTCAACGTGTATGGTTAACACGTCGTTGACAAGGCTTGTGATGGACCGGTCAGAACATTCAACGTATGTGGTTAATGCGTTGTACTCCAACAAGTCCGATAGGATTGGAACCTTCGACGCATGTGGTTACTACGCCGTTCTCCGAAGGATGGACAAGGTGGAGGTTCAACGTGTATGGTTAACACGTCGTTGACAAGGCTTGTGATGGACCGGTCAGAACATTCAACGTATGTGGTTAATGCGTTGTACTCCAACAAGTCCGATAGGATTGGAACCTTCGACGCATGTGGTTACTACGCCGTTCTCCGAAGGATGGACAAGGTGGAGGTTCAACGTGTATGGTTAACACGTCGTTGACAAGGCTTGTGATGGACCGGTCAGAACATTCAACGTATGTGGTTAATGCGTTGTACTCCAACAAGTCCGATAGGATTGGAACCTTCGACGCATGTGGTTACTACGCCGTTCTCCGAAGGATGGACAAGGTGGAGGTTCAACGTGTATGGTTAACACGTCGTTGACAAGGCTTGTGATGGACCGGTCAGAACATTCAACGTATGTGGTTAATGCGTTGTACTCCAACAAGTCCGATAGGATTGGAACCTTCGACGCATGTGGTTACTACGCCGTTCTCCGAAGGATGGACAAGGTGGAGGTTCAACGTGTATGGTTAACACGTCGTTGACAAGGCTTGTGATGGACCGGTCAGAACATTCAACGTATGTGGTTAATGCGTTGTACTCCAACAAGTCCGATAGGATTGGAACCTTCGACGCATGTGGTTACTACGCCGTTCTCCGAAGGATGGACAAGGTGGAGGTTCAACGTGTATGGTTAACACGTCGTTGACAAGGCTTGTGATGGACCGGTCAGAACATTCAACGTATGTGGTTAATGCGTTGTACTCCAACAAGTCCGATAGGATTGGAACCTTCGACGCATGTGGTTACTACGCCGTTCTCCGAAGGATGGACAAGGTGGAGGTTCAACGTGTATGGTTAACACGTCGTTGACAAGGCTTGTGATGGACCGGTCAGAACATTCAACGTATGTGGTTAATGCGTTGTACTCCAACAAGTCCGATAGGATTGGAACCTTCGACGCATGTGGTTACTACGCCGTTCTCCGAAGGATGGACAAGGTGGAGGTTCAACGTGTATGGTTAACACGTCGTTGACAAGGCTTGTGATGGACCGGTCAGAACATATACGTAACAGCGTCAAAATGACGGATCCCGTAAACCTAGTGCTCAAGAGATGAATTTCAAGCATTCTTATTTATTAGATTATAATTCACCGTAATCACTGAGAACGCCTGTAATCAAGAATTAATGAACTGACAGAAAATTATGCCGACAACAATTGCCGATAACCGTTTGAGCATGTCGCGCTCCTCGTATTCGATATCGAAAAGTGCCACCGTATCGGGTCACGAAGTGTAAATTTTATTCTATTTCTTATAATCTATCTCTTTAAAAAAAAAAATTGAACAAAAATCCTGTACATAACTAATTTTGCCTTTGTTTCGTGTTATTTCCAAACACTCGTATTCAATGAAAATGTCCAAAATAAAATTTTTTGAATTTTTCGACATCGAATGAAAAAAAGTACGATCGCGCCGCTTGGCATTTTTTGGTCAGATTTCTGTAATAACGCGCGGTACTCAAACGGTTAAACAGACAACACCAAGTGGGAAAAAATTGGGAAAGGGGTAGAATAGGTGCTAAACGTACTGATACAGTGATCAAATAATCACACTATCCGACAACAGGTACTGTTAAGGATTTAAACGAGCTCGCGACCGTTGCGAGAGCCGTTTCATGTTTATGTTCGGGTCGCAGAGCGTGAACGTAAACCATTTTTTTTTGGCATACCACCGCACAGTGGTCCAAATGGGCCTTCTAGTTGGACAAAATTATTTGCGCCTTACCTATGAAACTGAATGATGTAGTTCGACTAAATATACGTTTATTTAATATAACTCTAATGTAGAGAAATGAAATTGGGATGAACAGGTGAGGGAAATTAAATTCTATTCAATGTTATACTATATGTTTATTAGGTGGAAGTAATAACGCAAGTACTTCTGGTGACATTTCTTTATTTCTAGTCGGTGGTAATGGCCTCAGACTAGAAATAAGGGGCTCTGATGAAATTGTGGGTATTCAGCATGGTAAGTGAGAGGTAAATAGTGAATAAGGAGCATCAGAGGTCTTTTTGGCCTCTGTTCATTTGTCTAGTGTAAACAATGCCCCTTCAATTTGCAGTCTTTTGGTAATGTTCAAACATGAACAATAGGTTACTTTTCCAACCAGACAACGATTTCAAGCCAACGACTTAGTTTAGCTAAATAGCCGATACTCGCGTCAATCGGTGATCCAAGCTTTAGGTATATGTCATCTGTGTCTGTCGTTCTTAGCATTTTTTATTGGTCGTTTTTGTGTTATATATTCAATCTGTGATGGATTCTAATATAATCTGCAAGTACAAGGATTTTAAAACTACAGTTACTCATTTGTTTGGTCATACACAGAAATATACTGAGAAAGTCTACAATGTTTCTACTTTGACGGTCTCTTAAAAACAAAAGTCCGACTTGTCCCACCTTGGGGCTTGTTGGGATTTCTTCACACAAGTGCAGAAAGTCTAAAAAAATTATTCCTATTTGCAGCTTTGGAACTGAGGCATTTTTTAATAAGTTAATGCAGGAAGGGGAACTAACAAGGGAACTTCGGTAACGCAAAAATTCCGATTTTTTTGAAACTTTGTGGGTTTGTAGGGGACCTCAAGAGAAGTATCGGACAATTTTTTTTTTGGTCAACTTTTCGTGAAATAGCACCACTGTGCGACGTCTTTTCTTTCGACGAGAGAAAAAAATCTCCGGTGTCTGAAACCGTGTCCCCACTCCGTACGATCTAGCTGATTGGCTTTGCCAATATTTGTGGTATATACAGTGACTGTCACTTAAAATCATACACCTAGCAATTCGGCCGTTTTTTTTTCAATAAAACGTGAAAATTGTACTAAATGATTAAAACCTATACGCAGGCATATAGTTTAATGCTTCTTTATTTATAGCAAAACTATAATAAAACGTTTAGTAATACTTTGTAAATTACATAAAATTTGTCATTACATGTGAAACTTAGCTGTCAGTGAAAATCGTACAGAAAGAATTAGATACATTTTTACAATAATATGTAACATAAATAACTTATATTAATATTTTCTAAGGTAACCAAATGCATTATCAACACATTTTAGTCGTCGAGGAACTGATTTTACCAAATACATACATAGGCATAAATTTAATTTAATTTACTGACTATTACTAGAAAGTTTGTTATATTTTTTTTCTACATTAAATGAAGAAGCATTAAACTACATGCCTGTATATGAGTTTTAATCTCTTAATAGTACAATTTTCATGTTTTATTGAAAAAAATCAGCCGAACCGCTAGGTGTACGATTTTAAGTGACAGTCACTATACGTCCCCATTTCATCGTCAATGCAACAGAATGTTCAAATGTTCAACGAAGGACACTGCTATTTTTACTAATACATCATGTCTCTTATTTCTATCTTTATAATTTTTATTTTGACAGTTTCACAAGTTGGGTCGATCGCGGTACATACAATCTATTGTAGGAATAGGGTTTTATTAAGGTGTCTATTCCGGTAGTTACAGAGATAACACGACGAGTAAGACTAGTTCGTAGCGCCTACACAGGCCTTATCGTATCGTATCGTGGCTTCTTGCAGACTTCTTCTAGACTCACTCCAAACTGACCGACTGACAGACTCTTTCCGAACTGATTTTCGGCTGCTTTCCGACTGTTCCCGCGTGTCGCGGGCACGCGCTTTTATCCTCGCCCAGTCCGAACGTTCCAGACATTTTTTCTAAACCCGGCACGTCCGGGCTAGGGTTTCTGCCTGCCTGGTCGCGTTACGTTAGAATATTCCTGAAGCTAATGCTCACATAGACACACACACTTAAGTCTACCGGCACGTGCCGATCAGCCGGTAAATATATCGAGAAGATTCGATTATCCGTGTTCGCGATTTCTTTTATCATGCCTGCTTCCCACACTATTAATTTTAAAACTTTCATTCGATCACTCTCTCTCTCCGTCATGTTCCCGTACGTTGATCGCACCCGATAACTCAATAAAATCTGACTGTGCTGTTGAATATGCATCTCCATAAACGTATCTTTTCTACGTACAATTTCAACGAAACACTGCTGGTTTCGATACGATTTCTTTTAACGTTTACCGACATCAGTCGGTAACTCGATCGGCTTTTCAAGCCATGCGGCACAAGCCGAAACGCTGCGTTTCCACTTGGTTGACATTGCCGAACGACTTTACCGATTGTCAAATGTCGAAGCAACGAGGACGCGGCTAGACACACACCTCGACCCTCGGAATCCCCGAAACAGTCAGTCGTGTTTGTTTTGTCATCGAACATACTTCGTATACCAGCAACCGTTTCCAAATCTAATTGTTGCAGTAAATCGGTGTTCGAAAACTCAATTCGTGGCATTTTTCCATCATCGCGGAGTCACCACGCTATTTCACCAGCTACCAAACAGGTACATATTTGTCGTTATTTATAAAACAGAAAGAAAATTTTTTAACGGGAAATTGTAACAGGAGAAACAGTAACTATGGAGATTGAAAAAGATACAAAATAGGTAAATTCTGAACAATGTGCAAATCGCAAAAACACAACGAAGTGTTCATGTGAGAAAGGCTTCTTTGTACATAGGACAGAATAAAACTGGTGTGCTATACTATAATCTTCTCCAGCATGGCCAAACGATAACATTAAATATAGCATGTATATTTCTTAGTATGTATTACCTTTGTGACGACGAAGATTTCAGATCGTTTAATTTTTCCAGAATCAAACCATTTTTTAAGAACTTTACCAATTATCCCTTCATTTTCGTACACTGGTGCTGCGTCAATATGTCTATATCCTGCTTCCAAAACGACATTTAATGCACCCTATAGTTCCTCTTCACTTGCCTTAAACATTAAAATTCACATTTTCATTTGCATGGAAATTGGTTAATTTATTCAAAATTGAACATTGAAACTTTCTACAGTTATATGCAGTTTTACAACTTTTTTATCTGAGCTCGTAATGAAAATTTAAAAAATACGTGTTGTAGATTTATATCAATTGTACAAATGCTGAAAATTTCATCTAAATCGGTTAATGTTGGTATGAATGAAAATTTCATCGAAATCAAATTAATAATTGTGAAAATCGCATTATTCCACGACACCTACATATAACTGTAATAAATCTGAATATTCTTTCTTACATCTTTCGATGTCTGTCGCTTGTTTCTCCATCAACCGATTTCGATGAAATTTTCAGCATGTGTATAATTGACATAGATCTACAAAACGTATGTTTGAACTTTCATTACTAGCCCAGATAAAAACGTTGTAAACAGTGACCGTTACATTTTTATTCGCGATTCCCACAAGTTGCAATTTTTTAAAACTTTTTTGACACGTCATCTAGTATACTAATCCTTCT